TATATATACATATATATGTATGTATGTGTGTGTGTATGTGTGCTTATTTATGTATGTGTGTATGCATGCTTATGTATGTATGTGTGTATGCATGCTTATTTATGTATTTGTGTGGGTATGTGTGCTTATTTATGTCTTTTTATTTTCTTTTTGTAAATTCTTCATTCAATTTTGTGCATTGCAATAATGCTATTTAGTGGATTAAGAATATTGCCAAGTGTTGAAATAGAAAGATACAAATGAATGTATTCACATCAACTCATGAACTTGCTTTTCTTCCAGATGCTTTGAGCCAGACCAGTGCCTTTCAAACAAATGCAAAAATTCTGGTTCCTGTTATTCTAATCTTGCCACAGATGGTTCCCAATGTAGTTGTCAACATAATGGCTTTAAAGGACGATACTGTGATGAAGAAATTAGTGAGTATTGAAGAATTTTCCACTTTCATAGCATTTTTTGTACAACCATCTATTTTTTTTTTATTTACACCCTGACTTTGACTTGCTGATGACAATATTTTCATCATATTTTTTTATTCTGAGATCATAATTGATAATAGCAAGAATATATTTTGAGACTTTGTGATCCCTTTTTCTTTAATCATTTCTTTTCAGTATGAAATGGTAGATTCTTTTGCAAATTTTCTAATATGACTGTTAAATCAATATTTAAATCTAAATCAAGTAGAAATAACTCAGTTTAATTCTTTACAACTGTTTTATTTTGCCAATTTTTTTCTTCTTTTATAGATGAATGTGAAGTGAATCCTGATGCTTGCTTGAATGGTGGCAAGTGTGTTGATGCTGTTGGTCATTACATATGTGAATGTAAACCAGGATTTTCTGGTAAAAACTGTGAATTATATTCAGACATTTGCCAAGATGATTTTTGTCTTGATGGAAAATGTCACTTTGACCATCGAATCTTAAATAAGACTTGCATTTGTAGAAAACCTGAACTGAAAGGTAAGCAGATGTAATTTTCATTGATCAGTTTTTGAATATTACAAAAGTTTGACTTTATGAAATATAAAACCTGTGATAAAAATATTCTGTACTTCTTCAATTAAAATTTATAGATTTGTTTTACAAATAATTCTGATGAATATTTTGTCATTAATATTAGAAGACAGAATATGCAATCATTTTTTGTAATGTTTGTTAATTATTTTAGATGAAACTGGAAAATGTGTGAAAGATGAACCTTGTAAAACATTCTTATGTTTGAATGGTGGGACCTGTTTAATGTTAGAAACAGAAGTAGCAGTTTGCAAATGTGTACCTGGTTATGAGGGAAAACAATGTCAGCGTAACAAAGATGACTGTATTTCAAATCCATGTGGTGAAAGTAACATGTGTGTTGATGGCATTAACTCCTTCACATGTGTCTGTAAACCTGGATTCACTGGTAAGTTACTTGTCTTCAATGAATAACTGAAATAACAATTAAAATGAGCAAAGTAACTAAGTACTACAAATGTAGATTACTTTAACCAATATTCTATTTGCTTCTTCTTCGATGTGTCCCTCCAGAAAGTAGGAAATCATGGCTCTCTACAATTTCCTGTCCTTTGTAGCTCCTAATAAAATTTGTCTTTTTGTTATCCCTCCTAAACTTTGTCCTACCATCCATTTACTCAAGCTCTCTAGGTAGGTTATGCATTGCTTTTCTCTGTCATATTGCAATTTGGACATTGCCTTGGCCCTCTTCAATTTCCATATTTTCACATATCACTGCAAGATGGTCACTCTCGCAGTTAGCACTTGAGTATGTTTTGAAGTGTAAAACTACATTCTTTAATCTCTTATTGATAGTTATATAGTCAATTTAGTTTTTTTGTTTTTGAAACCAGGTGTTGGTTACTACCTGATCATTCACCATACACCATTGAACCCATTTTTCTCTGTGTTTATTATGAGTTACATTGAGCCTTCATAAAACTTTCAATTTCTTCTTCTGTGCTTCATAGAATTTGAAAATAGAATCTTATATATTTTTTCCTAGCCCCTATCTGTGGTGGTGGTGGGAGGATAGGTCTATCTATGTGCTGAAACTTGACTAATGCATGGAATAATAATGCAACACAAAATGTACATAGAACAAAATGTATTGAAACAAAAAAGTGTACACAATATTTACATATAGTCTTTTGTATATTCCTGGTAAGACCGTTCCTGGAGAATGTGTTGACTGAGTCGCAGTTGGGCAGAGTCTCTGGTTGAATCTCTTGATTCCTTCCTCTCTTCCCGGTACCAACCATATTTATATGGTTGGTACTCCACTATGCAAATTAGGTGGATCCTACCACAACACTATGAATGTAAATTATTTATTTATTTTTTTTTTAAATAAAACATGTCAGTAACAAGTCACTTCCAAACAAAATACAGTTCTAAACAGTATTATTATTATTCTTTAAATTCAAAGTAATTTCTTACCTTGACTTTCTTGAGTTAACAATGAGAGGAATAATTATTCATCATCTAATTTTTGATCAGTGGCAAAAAGTTTCATAGCTGATAATCAGAAACTTGAATTTAAAAAAAAATCTCTATATTCTTTTCCTAGCCCTTCATACCTATCAGTGGTAGTGGGAGGAGGCATATCTACAAATGTAATTTTTTTTAATTAGAAAAGTGAGTGTAGCAACAGTAAATATTAATTAAATAATGGGATTCTTTTTAGCTTCCAAGGATTATAATGCTTCCTGATTAAGCAGATCTTACATTCTGCAGAGAACATATTAAAATGCATCAAAAGATACCTTAGTCCAAAGAGATATTTCTAACATGTAGATATTTACTGTTTAACAAGTACATGAATGTACTAACTACATTGAAAAAAAGTACATTCATGTACTTGAGAAATATTTAGTATAGGGTAGACTGGTTTCTATAGCTTTGGACACACTGACTGCTCTGGCTACAGTCTATGTAGTATCCTAAAGGCCCTAATTCATTACAGGGCTTGTGTATTATTATTGTGATTATTAGTGTATGATTTACTACAAGGAGATTATAAAATTATGTACTAGTCTTCAAAATTCAAAGAGCCTACTGGCTTTTAAAATCAGTGTTTGAAATTCTGACTTTTTTCTGCGCTTGAGCATCAATTACCAGCACCAGTTGGTAATGTACAACTATTTCAGCCATTAACACAACCTAAGTAGATATTTAGTAAACTTACTTTAGTCTGTCACAGATTCACAATAATAGGGCACATAAAATGATTAACAATGGCTTTTGAGATGAGCTGGCTCAATATTGCTCTACAACAGTTGTCCATCATCATTTAGGATATGTTTTTATTGATTCATATCTGAAGGTATTTTCTTTTGTATAACAGATGTTATATATTTTACTTCTTTTTCTGTTTTTGAAAATATAGTACTTGTTTTATTCTCTGCATCTGCAATAGATTTATTTTAATCATGTCACCCCAAGCAAGTCAGTAATGCCATTAAGATGTAAGGGGTTACTGGCAGTGAGTGAAAATGAGAAGACATTTGTGAAGAGAAAGGACAATAAAAGAAGACAGAAGATGATGATTAATATTGCATTTAAACTTTTGAAGATTGTGGGTGATAGGGAAGCAAGAAATTAGAAAAAAGATCCACTGGGAAAGTGCAAGAAAAGAAATACTCAGAATAGAACTCATCGTTACAGCTGGCTATTTCAACAGCAAAACAATGAGACCAAGTTGTCAATCTAGTAGTATGCTTAAATTCATGTGGTCAAGCTACCTAGGAGTAGAAAAATGAGAGAAAATTAGAATAACTAGCATGAAAATATTTATAGAAAAGACAGAGGGAATGTTATGAAAGAACTATTTCATGATGGTTGTTTGGTAGAATTTTAAATGAATTTGAGTGAAGTTGCTACAATTTGTTAGTATTGTTAGTAATTTCTTATATAAAAATGTATTGCTGGCATTTTTACTATAAAATGTATTTTTATACTTAGTATTTTGTTTTTTGGGTTCATTATGTGATATCACCTCAGGTCAGGGTGGACCTGGCAATAACAACAATTAAGAGGTGGTTCCATGTTCATCAAAACTTCCAATCTCTCAATCAGAGGGGCCTTGCTGTGGGATGTATTTTAGTGTCATCCCCAGAACTAGACTGAAATTGAGATGTTAGGTCAGGACCAGTAACATTATAGACCCTTCTTTGAATTTTCTAGAGAATCTTGAGATACATTACTATGTTTATCAATCTTGACTATAGAGGTAACAGCTTTTTACTGCAAATACAGTTATGGTGGTTATGGGAAAATGGTTTGCTAGAGGCTCTAATCAACTCTAAATTGATTAAATATCTTACTTTATATGGCCTTTTTTTCAAATAAAAAATATGGCTTTTATTTCTATATGTCAACCATTGATGTATTAATGATTATTACTGAATGAGTCTATCAAACTTTAGTGGTGAAGTTCAGACTTTTGATTTGTATATCTGGAAGGTATTTGACAGGGTTTGCCATGCTGGTCTTCTTCACAAGTTGAAAGGTATTTCTGGAGGAATTTTTGATCTGATCTGATTCAGTCTTTCTTATCAAATTTATCAATGAGAGTTGCTTTGTTGAACAGCTACTCTTGTAGATCTTTTTGCATTAATGCAGGTGTTCCCAGGGCTCTATTTTTGGATCTTTGTTCCTAATTTTTATCAATTTGTTGACTTTATGGGTTCTTTTCCCTCCCTGGTTGGGGCCAGTGTGTCATTGCAATAGGTTTGATTTGGGTTTCCTAATATTGTAAGATATCGAGATTGAGGGCAAAATCTAGTGTGGACCCCACTATGTACATTGTGTACCATATTTAAGGAATAATTCTCAACTTACAGATGTGGCAAACTTTGTCTCCTTGGTGTCCCAGAACAGCTCTGAAATCAGGCTGGAATAAGAATCCTTTGAACAAAATACACAGCACTGTTGATAACTTTAAAAACAGGTTTATTGAATATAAAGAAAACTGGTGAATAAAATGTCTCTATTATTGACTGAAGGACTAAGCTCTCTACTTCCCAGATAATCACAGTAATTGATATAAAATATGGGAACAATTAACACATTTGTATATCTGTGTGTTTCTCGTGACTAACAACTCTTTGTTGGCCGATTTCCCATCTATGTGTGTTTCAGCCTGGGGAGTTCTTGTTTATATAGATGACCCCCATCCCAAAAATATTGACATTGATATATCTAATTTCTCCACCCTTAACCATCTTAATCTTAGGAGACCTTGTTAAAAGAACTATATGGTATTGTCTTTGTTTAAAACCTTCCTAAATATTTTTTTATTGCATTTTTGGGCGATCGGCATAAATAAATTCAAATCTTGCGGATTAACAAAAAACATGTTTTGTTCTTTATCTAGAATAATTTGGCTTAGTCTTTTCTGTGACAACACACGTTTTGGACAGATAGTCTAAGGTAAACAAACTGTTGAATCTAATTTCTCAGGAAAAGAAAGAAATTAGAACAGCAGATTAATCATGTTTTCTTTTTAGTGGCAAGAAGTGGATGAGGTTGATCACCTTGATTTTGCTCAATTTTACTTAATCTTATCTAGTTAATTCTTGGTTTGATTCTCCATGGAACTGTTCAAAAATTATTTTTTATTAGTTTAAAACATAATTTTTACTATTTTTTTTTCATTTATTTATTTATTTTTTCTTAACCATTAAACCTACTCTCCTGAGAATTTTCACCGTTCTGCAATTTTGTGCAATTAAACTTTTAAACAGTCAGTGCTCTGTTACATTAAGATAAGAGTAAATAGTTGTCATCATTAGAGAATTAATGACATCAGGAAGGGTCATTGGGGAAAATTAAGGACAATGTAGGTCAAAGGATTGAGTCCTGATGAGAACTGCATTAATGCAAAAAGAGTGGCCATTCAATTTTGTAATTTGATAAGAAAGATTGACTCAGATAAAAAATTTGTCCAGAAATACCCAAGAATTGTCAACCAAAGCCTTTTTTTGAGCCACTTACAGCATTTTATCAAATATTTTTGAACATCTTTCTATAAAAGATGATTTGCTTTTTATTTTAAATGCAGACTGAATTGGTATTCCACAAGAGATAATAGCAGATTTGATAAAATTTATTAATGACAAATTCATTAAGTTTTCATTTGAATAATATTCCTGAATTGTTTCGGTTGTATAAAAAGCTCAATTTTGAAAATAGATTATCTGCTGTATCAGTTTCTGATGCTCACTGACCCACTTTAAATATTTTTTTGACTTGGATTCTTTTCAGGTGAATTTTGTGATGTAAACATTAATGAATGTAAATACATTAATACAAATGCTAAAAGATGCCATGAAAACAATACCCTGAATTGCACAGATAAAGTTAATGGATTTACATGTCATTGTAAAGCTGGATTCACAGGGCAGTTTTGTGAGGTGAGTACAATTCTTATGCAGACATTTATTGAATATTGTTTTTTTGACAGAAGTGTGTATCCTACAAAATTCATTAAAAATTATATGAGTCAGATTACCCTTTTTATTATGATGGAAACAATTTAAAGTATCACAAAAGAAATATAATTGAAGATAATTAAATAATAAAGGGTTTTAAGAGAAAATTAGAAATTAGTAGCACAGTAAGATAAAATTATAGGAAACTCACATTTGAAAATAGGAAACTTGAAAGAAGTAAAATATATAACATTATCAAGTAATCTTATAAACATTAAGTGTAGAAATGACAACTATATAAGAAATAGAGCAGAGAATGTACATAGAGCTTTTCAAATAAGAAATAACTGAAATAAGAAGGTTAAGTAAAAAGTAGAAAGAAATTATGTAGAATTTAATTGGTTAAGAAGCCATGAAAAATAAGAATGATCACTGCAATAGCAAGGAAAGAATCATTTGACAAAAATGTTGCCAAGTAAAACTAGTTGTGAGTTCAACTCACAAGAAAGAAAAAAAAGAATGTATAAAGTTTTAAAACTCAAAAATGGGGTCTTTGTGTTTTCTTTAAGGTAAATGCAAACAGTATTTGAAAGGTTTACATTATTGATATATTTAAGTGAATTAAAATTAACTGCATAAATGTACTGCATAGACAAAGAAGAAAGTTGATTAAAAGAATCCAGTATGAAAAAAGAATAAAATCATGTGAACAATTTATAAATATATGTATTATGTACAATAGTATTGTTCCTGGATAAAGAGTGTAGTTTTGATTATCATGTGAGGTAAAATATTTTCTAAATTTCCACTATTCAATAATTATAGTGTATTAATGAAATCGGTTTCAGTATATAAATAGACATTTTATCAGGCATTGTCAGGTTAATATAATTCATACTGATGGTGAATTGGTTGAAGGGAGATAACTCCTTATTGTTATTCTTGTTCACTGGAAAATATGGTTTTGTGTTATTTGCCTCGTACATGAAAATATCAATACTTACAATAAAGCAAGAACAATAAATGAAAATTTTTATTTTCTGTGTTTTTTCTAGGAAGACATCAACGAGTGTGACACCCAACCTTGTATGTATGGAGCTACATGTATTAATAAAGTGAATGATTTTATGTGCAAATGCCCTAAAGGATGGACTGGTAAATTGTGCAACAAGAATATTGACTTTTGTAGAGTCAATCCTTGTAAAAATCATGGAAGGTGCCAGAATTTACAAAATACTTTCTTCTGCAGGTTGTTATTTTTTTTATCTTCTTAATCTCTCTTCTCTTGTTAACTAATTCTCATCATCTTTTTTTATTTCTTCTTTGTACCAACCTTTTCTCTCTCTTATACATCACTATGATTTTCACTTCCTACACAATACTCTTCTATTACTACTGTAATCGTCTTGATTCTTTCCTTCTTTCAATGACCATTTATTATTTCTCATTGTTTCTTTCATTCTCTCATTCTTTTGATTTTATTATCTTTACAATAAACTTTGCAAGTATTTTTCTCATCAACTCCAAGAAAACTTCAAATTGCAAAATGAGAAAAGGTGTACTGTTCTTGAATTTCTGATAATGCTTACTTAGTGGTAAACAATATAAAATCCTTGTCATGAGAAAGATGTCACAGTAAAGGGACCAAATAATATTGAATTGTGAAATACAATTTTATTGATAAATCATTGATTATGATGGATTCATTTTACTTTAAGCTGATATGATCTTTTTATACATCTGTTTTTTCTGCAGTCAACATAATATTAATGCATTTCCTTCATTCTCAAAATCAAATGAAAATTATCAAAAGATATGATACCTTCAAATTTTTGATTGAGATTTTTTCTTTTTCAGATGTCATCCAGGCACTTATGGTCACACTTGTGTCCATGTTCCTGACCTTTGTTCAGTTCTTAAAATGTGTACCAATAAAGGAATTTGCAGTGTCAGTAGGCATCAGGCTTCCTGTTCATGTCCAAATGGTAAACTGCAAGTTTAATAAAACTATTGCTTTTAATCTAATCTAAGGGGCTGAATGCCATAAAAACAATTTTATAGAACAAAATTGGGTGAGTTTGATTTTGTTTTGAGGATAAAGTGTAGTGTCTTGAAGACAGGTCCATGACTTTGAAATATTATGGTTTAAACAATTTTAAATTATTAAGTTGATGTCATCCAAATCATAGACAAAATGTTGTCATCAAGAGTTGATGTTATCAAATTATGAGCAAAAAGTAAAATTGGCTGCTAATAAGGGAAAAATTAGTACAGAGAAAATGAATAAGAGAAAAATAAACAAGATAAAGATATAAAACAAGAAATGGTTTACTAGGTAGACATTTTTTATGATGAATACATTGGATTACTTGTAGAAAATTATTTTATTCTCAGAACATATTTGTAAAATGACACATTGATATTTATTCCTTGGTTGCTAAAGATGATCACTGATATCACACCAGAAGAAAATTTAATGAGCTTTTTTAAGAAAATCTTTGTAAATTAATACATAGCATGATACCAAGTTTTTAGTTTCCAACTTCTCATGATGAATTATGATTATAAAGATCTTGGTTTCAAATTGAAATAATAATCAAATAAGTTGGTGTTTATATTTTCTAAAAGAATTCTTTATTTGTTTATTGATTTTCAGAATATTATGGAAAGTCATGCCAGTTATTTAAAAACATTTGCTTTCAGCAGATGAATATTTGCAAAAATGGAGGCACTTGTATCCACAAAGGATACAGCTATGAATGTCAGTGTCAAAAAGGTAAACTTCCCACTTGTATATTATTTTTATAAATATAGGCATACACATATATAAAATATAACACATAAAAACTTGATTGCAGTATAAGAAAAATATAGTAAATATTTTTACATAAATATTGTGAAACAAATAAAATTAAATGCAAAGGAAAGAATAATTTAATTATTCAAAATTACTCAACAAATTGTTTTTGAAAAGAAATTCATGTAACACCAAAAATAATAAGGATCTGAAATAAAAAAATAGATGCAAATTTTTCTGAGAGTTGTTATGTAACACAAATTCAAAGTGTCAATTTTTATGTTTTTTTCAGGATATACTGGAATTAACTGTTCAGAAAAAGTTGATGTCTGTAAGGGATTTGTATGTCCTCAAAACAGTGTGTGTGTTCAGTCCAGTGATCTAAAGACAGCAACTTGCAAATGTAATGAAGGAAAAACCTTTGCCAATAAGATTTGCAAAGGTATATATAATCTTTTCTACAATATTGATCAACATCTATCTACACAGTGATAAAGAGGCTGTGGTATTTTGTCAGTATATTCTTGGTAATTATTTTATCAGAAACTTTGGAATGAAGCAAACTGGCTCAAGAGTATAAAATAAATAATATATTTTTATTTATTTGATTTAGAGTGAGTCCTTTGATATTTAATATAGCAAAATGTTCATTGATAAGGTGTATCTTGGTAGCAATCAGGAGAAAGAGCTTGGTAGTAGTAGTCATCTTAGAAATTGGTCAGTGTCTATCTATTATTTTTTTCTTGGCTCTAAGAAGCACAGAAAATATCATTAGCAAATGACTTAACTACTTCACACATTCTACATGGCTGGTTTCTCTGGTGGTCGTATCTCTTGTTCTGTGGTTTCTCTTGCTGTCTTTTCTTCTCTGGCTCAGAGCTGTGAGCTTATATCCTTTTAACCAGGCTCCCAGACTACTGACATGAACCTTGGTTTTGGCTAACATTCCAAAGTCTCTGTGTTAATTTTCTTGATTAGCCAAAATTATTTTATTCTAGCATGTTCCTTTCTTTTGCATTTTTTTCTAGCGGAAGTTATATGTAGAGTTTCTTTGATCTTTGTTAGTTTTTAGTCACAAGTGGCAGGACTCTGCTCCAGCAAACTTCCACTATTTTTCTGCCAGGTTCAGTCTTTTTTTCTTCTTTTTTATTTTTGAGGGTTGAGAGAGAAGTATAGTGCGAGAAAACAATAAGGGTTTTAATAGAAAGCAAAATGCCTTATTTTAATTCCTTTTATTTTTGTTTATGTATTTTATTTTCGTATTTTATTTTATTATCGGGACTCACTACAAGGCTTTTAAGGTATTGAAAAAAGTAAGGAAAAATTCCTCAATGTTAGCATTAGTATTGTGAAATCCACAATAACCTTGTCTTGTAAATCCCTGTTGTAACTAATGATATTTCAAAAACTTGAAGATATAACTGATTACTGTAACTTATAAATCAATGCAAAAAGCTATTATAAATGGTGAGTCATATACTTGTAAAATCTGCAGTATTATATAATATAAATAACTTTATATTATCATGAAAATATTTGTAAACACTCTTTGTCTCATTAAAAAAGACTAATATTTTAAATGTACATTTTTTATAGATATAATGATATTTTTATACAGTTATATCATTTGAAATCAAAATGCATAGTTTATAATGTTTGAAAAACATGGATTTCAAAGTAGCTTTGAAAGTTTGTTTTTTTTGTTTTTGTGAAATACACAATAGTTAAATAGTATGAATACTCATACAAATATTTACATTTTCAATTTTAAAAATTGTTGACTCTCTTCATATTTTTAGCTAAATTTTAAATATTTTTTATTTTCAGATTTTTCTCCAGATTTTGATCTGTTCTTTGATGATGAGATCAATGTAAATGGGGCAACTCTCCGTCATACTTTACCATTTCAAAATTCAGAATTGACTTTGTCATTTTACACATTGTTATTCCATCCTAACCAGACTAATGCAGTAATATTCTCTATTTATTATGTGGACAGGTAAATTCATATACGTTTTTAATCAATTTTTAATTAATTTTTACAGAGAGTGTAAAAGAAAAAATGAAAGACTAATTGGAGAAAAATGAGAAAGTCAAGAGAAGAATGAAGTGAGGAAAAAAAATTTGGAGAATGAAAGAAAAAGATAGAAATGGTGGAAAGAAACAAGTAATGCATAAAAATTTGTGTGAGAAGACATTAAAGCAAGAGATAAGGGATTTACAGGAGAAAAGAAATGGAGGAAAATGTGAAAGAAGTGTTATAAAATGAAATAAGAAAAGTTGAAATAACAAATCAAATGATGATACTTAGCAAAATTATTGAAAGAAGGCGGGGCAAAATTAGACAAGAAAAGATAAAAAGTAAAGAGGGAATGAAATAATGAAACATTGGTGTCCGGAGTATAGTAATTAAATAAATATTTATTTAAAAAAATTGGAGGAGCAGGGGTCTTAGCCCCCCCACCCCAAGAAAGTATGGTCCTGCTATTGTTGCAGTGAAGTTTTATCTAGACAGAAACCCATGATTTTTTTTTAGTTAATACTTATTTAAATGTATGATGGGTGTCTAGCCCCCTTCAGAATGTATGACCCTGGTATTGTTGTAGTGAGTGATTTTTATCTAGAACCCCATAGTTAACTTTTTAAAAAAATATTGATGAAGGAGGCCTAGCCCCCTAAACCCCACTTTTTCAAGTACTACCCTGGTATTGTTGTTGTGGAGTTTTATCTGGACCCTACGATTTCAAGTTATTTAAAAATATAGGGGAGGGGGGTGCCAGATCCCCACTCCAGAACGGCTCTAAAATCAGTTTTCAATTGACTTTTATTTCATAGTTACCGAATTTTCCTAACTTGTCAAAATTACTGAATTTTCATAAATTCTGAAACATTTGGGGAAATTAACATTTATAACATATCTAGCATTTGGTCTTGCAATCAGATAACAAAAAAACAGAACAATGAGATTATATTGTTTACTAATATTCAGAATATGCATTTTTGTTTTTTTTATTATGCAACATGAACTCATATATATCAATAAATTTATAATATTATATAATATAATAATTTCATAATATAATATTGCTCATTCCAATGTGAAGCATCTTCTTAGAATGTCAATACATGAAAATAGCATACTGGTAAGCTCATATGAAACTGATTAAAATGTGAATTAATTTTTCAAATAATCAGTTCAGTTTTTATTTATGGACCTTTTTTCTTTTTCTTTTTTTAAACCAGAAATGATCACTTAGTGAAACTGATGACTATTCATGAGAGCCATATTGTCCTCTGGGATAAACACAGATCTGTCAGTGAGAGTTTTCCAAGTCTGAAAGCTGGAAAGTCAGCCATGTGGCACCATGTTACTGTGTCATGGGATGCTTCTGGAAATCTACAATTATTTTTGGATGGGATTACAGAAATTAACAAAACAATTAATATAGTTCCCAAAAGTAAAGTCAGGTAATAGAGAAAATTTTAAAGTTCAGATATCAAAATAAAAACAATATCAAAGCTTGGCTATATTTTTATTCTCTTACTTATTTCTGTTTTTATACACAAATGTATATTTTGAATCATGAAGACAGTCTTGAAAAATATGCTTGTAGGTAATCACTTTTTAGATATTTAGATATCTAATTCATCTTCATAATAAAATATATACTTGTGAAAATCTGAAAATAAACAAAATCCATTTGTATAAAAGTTACAGTAAAGTAATAAACAGAATTACACTGCCTAGATAAGGCAAAGTGCAATGAAATAAATGTAGGAACTTCCTGTTCAACCTGTTTGACTTTAAATGCAGTAGGCAGAGGGAGAATTTAAGAATACTTAGTTTTTGATGAACTGCCTACTTCACATATATTTCATTAAAAAAGTTTTTGCTAAAGTAAAATATGATAATTTCTTAAGGTAGTATTTGTACTTCATATTGAGGAAAGCATATAAAGTTGAAACTTATAATCAATAAAAAATGCAAATGAAAAACAGCTTTTATTTATGTTTAAAATTGTTTTTCCCACTCTTCTTGTAATTTCTTTATCTAGATATAGCCATAAAAAATTGTTGGGTTCTAGCAATTCTTTTTTTAATACTTAAAGTCTGCTATCAATCCATTCATTGTTTAACATTCTGTTAACTGCTACTTTTTTTTAATTACTAGTGTTATTGTCAAACTGGGCATACATTTTTCTGGCTACATCAGTCAACTTTTTATTTGGAACAAAATCATTCCTTATATTATGATTATGGGAAAGGAAACATTGTTCCAGCCACCATCTGGTTATATTCAGAGCTGGGGTGATTACCTACTGGACACAGGAATAGAAAGAAGGCATCCAAGCCATTCAATGAAACCTGTTTGTGAAATGGGAGTCTATACTCCTGTCTGTATATTTTGGCCAGGTAAGTCAGTTATCTTTTATAGAAAATTTCCACTTCTTTTGGCTCCTAGAAATGTTATTCATAAGAAATATCTTGATTGAATGTACATTGATATCTTTATTATTTCATTGGCAAATTTTAATTAGTATTAATTTTATTTTAATCACTTAAAAAAAGGGAAATTATTTGTACTTTCAGGAAAAAAAAGGTGAATGTTCTTGTCAAAACATCCAAGCCACCAGTGGCCCTCTGGTGAGCCACCAGTAGCCCTCTGGCGAGCCACCAATGGTAATGCCAGTGATCCTCTGGTGGCAGCGACTGATGGGCCTCTAGCGGTCAACCAGTAGTAACATTGCTGAGAGAAAGACACTGGGGGTCCAACAGCGGGCCACCAGCGGTAAACGCTAGTGACATGCCACTTGGCTTGCATGTAGGGATAATTCCTAAAAATAATCCATTTTATCTTCCAAGAAGCCATAATATTACATGTTTACAATTTAGCTTTCATGAAAATTAAGATGCCAGGTTAATCTGTTTTCTTGAGACTATTGTTGCAATGGTTCCTAAAACCTTATCATGGCACCACTGGTAATACCCCTCGCTTAGTGCCTTGGGGCAACCACTCATTATATGTTGGAGGGATCCTTTCTACTGGCACAACAGACAAAGTGGAAACTAACTCTTTCCGCACATGTGGAGGTTTGCCAGGCTGGGCAATGTATCATACACTGTCTGTACAAGGAAGCTTGTATTACTGGGATAAGTATACTAGAGATCTATCCACCAAATCTTCCTTTTTTCTAGGTTTCCCAATTTTGTCCCTCCCCCCATTGACCTAAGGCCAACATTATACTGACACTAATTTCCTCCACACCTACTCTCACTTACTATTGAAGACAGTATTTATGATCTTTCCTTCTTCCTCTCTCTTGTGGATTGGAACAGTAACCTAGACCTGATCTGCCAACTGCCACTTTTCCTACAAGCATTTTCTGTCTCGACTTTTGCTGTACTGAGCTTGTGTGATTCCTTCCACTTTTCCCAGTTCAAATCTCTATTCCTCTATTCTGCAACTTTAGGATCTTTTGAATCCCTATATAAGATTGCCTTCACCACTTTAAACTCCTCAACTAATCCTCTGAAGGGGAGTTGCAATGCATTAGACACTCCAAACAGAGCTGCATTGCTTAAAATCCTGAGTAAGCCAAGCCATCTTCTCAAATATCTGCTTACTTTTTTCTCCATCTTCTCAACTGTTGTCAATGCCACTTTATATAATATCAGTGTCCACAGAATCTTTGGCAGAATGGTATATTGATATATCCATGACTATCATTGCTTGATGTCTGAAAAACATTTTTGGGTAGCATCTGTATCTTTTAAATTAGCATTGAATATTTTTTGCAGACACTTAAGGGCTTTTCCTTTTAATGATTGGATAGTGTTTCCTGCAATCTTGAAATGGAACTTTTTTATCACAATCTCCCTCTTCAGTACTAACGACCTCAATTTTGTTGGTTTAAATTTCATTTTTGCCCAAGTCATTATCTTTTCTAAATTCAGCAAAATATTCACCGACATCCAGGGACAGTAGGTGTGATAACTTACAGGTCTCATTGATATGTGTGCATGTTATACTCCATTTCTCATCACTGGATCTCAACACTCAACTTCTGCTGATTTTACTAACATGTTCATGGTTAAGGTAAATAATGTCAATGAAATTGTACATCCAGTTTTAATTCCCTTTTCTAACCAATGTCAATTGGAAGATATCAAATCAGTGGTTGTTTTTATGTTAAAATCATTGTAATTGTATGAGATTCCTTACACAAACAGGGACATGGTATCTTCTGAGAGCTTCCTCGACTAATTTGTGCGGAACGGATTCATATGCATTAGCAAGGTCCAGCCACAGTACAACTAGATTGCCTTAACCAGTTTTTGCTACTCTTATGAGCTGTGTTATCATGCCAATCAGACAACCTGGGATATTGGCAATCTCTCCCTTCTGTATTGGAGTATCTATGTAATTATTGGCACTAAGATAATGCTGAAGTCATTGGGACAAGATGCTGAAGAAGATTTTGTTCTTAGTGTCCAGCAAAGAAATCATTCTAAACTGTTCAATTCCTTTTGAGTTTTCTTTTTTAGGAATCCATACTGCATTAGGAAATCTCCAAAAAGAATTAAAGGAGGTCATAGTTTGGTTGCAGCAATTTTATAAATGTCAAAGTTATTGAGTAAATATTAAACCATGCATCTTATCAAGTAAGAAAATAGCTTATTAGTTATTGAATACCAATATAGCTATTTATTTCATTTTTGTATAGTCAATTTTTGGTTGAAAAATAAGTTAGAGTAGGTAGATTCCATAATTATAGTCTATTATTCATATTAATGAAGAATTTGAAATATATTTTACATTTGAAAGAGAGAATTGATAAAAAAAGATTTTCATCAGACTATCAATATTTACTTAAATTACTATCTTCAATTTGGTTAAGTTTTATTGGTTAGTTGAACTTGTGCTTATTGTTCTCTTCTGACAAATCAAGTTAATACTAATAGTTAAAATGGTAATGTTATAAGTATCTTCAGGTAATATGTACCTGTGTTTTCTCTTTTTTCATAGAAGCTAATCAGCTTATATTTATCCAAAGAATCCTAAGAAGATGAAGAAGGTTGTTTGACTAAATTTCCTTGTTATGATAATGTCATCTCATTCAGGAATTTTGGTAGTTTTTATTAGACATATTGTTCACAATACAAGTCATCATTTCTTTCCAAAATATTTTTATATCAAATAAACTTAGAAGCATTTTATTTTGTAAATATTAAAGCAAAATTGCAAATAATTTTTCTTTTGTCTTCAGATAAAAGAAAACCTAAATTTGTGAATTGTCAACACAAAGATAGTTTTTTCACAAGTGAAGATTGGATCACTGAGGGTATTCCATTTGAAATACCAACAGGAAATGGAAGTGTTACAAACAGTCAGCATGAGGGTAAATATGAGATTTTCCTTTGACAGTATCATTTACATTTGAAATTTCATTGCTTTTTTTTTTGTTTTGGATTTCTACTTCTTGAATTCTAATGTATTCAGTGTCTTGACTGATTTCTTTTCTTTAGAATTTGAGTTCAGTGAAGCAAGGATACAGTTTTTATACTCTTTACTAACTACAAACATTGATATATAGATGTATAGATATTATGAATTTAGAGGAGTACAAACATTACTGAAATTGGAATGATTTGTATATATTTAGCTAAGCTTTTTATGTATCATTCAAAATCAATATAGTTGTAAAATCTGAATGGATTAATGCTGGGAAATCTGTCCTGGCTTTCCTGCATCTAAGGGTTGAGGTTAAAAAATTACGACAAAACGTGAGTAAAAAAACAGCAAGATTAGAGCGGACAAATTCTCTCTTTTAGGCATGTATGAATAAAGAAAAAACTCCTACTTGGTGTGTAACAATAAAAGAAGAAAGTGTTTATTTACATATACAGTAAAAAAGGGTAAAGGGATAAAGACAAGAGTGAAAGAAAGGGAAAAGAGAAAATGTCCTTTAAGTGAAGAGAATATGTTCATAACAGAAAAAAGGCTTGCTCAAAATATTTCTCTGAGTGCCTAAAAAGTTCTTTAAGTGAGTAGAATTTTGTTAAGGTTTAAAAACACACAGTTCTTGTAAAGTAGTAAAATTGTTGTTAGATATAGGAATTTTGCAGTTGAGTGAGTTCATAGGTCGATGACAGAAGTCCAGTGTGCTCGTCAGAAGGAGTGGTGAAGGGATGCATCTTTGAATTGGTCTGAAATTGTGGGCTGACATTTGTTCTTGATAGCCCTTTAGTAGGTAGTTCTTTGGTTGAAAATGGGTCTGAAGTTGACTGGAGCTCACTTTCGTCGACCTTACAGATGGCGGGTTGAAGTCTCACTGCCAAATAGGCAAAGATTTTCCAAATTTATGGAGATTTAATAGGCTCCAAAGAATGGGGGAATTTTCTCTCCAAAATTGTTGAACAAATTTCCTGGCCCCTTCATTGGTCAGAAAATATATTCTTATCTCTGATAAGAATCAGGGCCCTGGGAGCCGGTTTTGAAGGTAATGAAAACAGGTTGGAGTGAACAAGCTTTGATGTTTCCCCCGGACTTTATGGCACCAAGGAAAGAATTATGGTGGTCGAATTCCTTTTTATATTTTCCAGCTCTCTCATTAGTCAGAAAATATATTCTTATCTCTGATGGTTTTGAAAGTAAAAAGTGATTGAAGTGATGATAGTAAAAATAGCGAGAATGTGAACTTGTAAAATATTGTTCTCAAATTAAATTCCAATACTCAAACAAAGATGCAATAAACTTCAGTTTGTTGCAGAAACAAAATCCCATTTTTCCACCCACAAGATAAGCTAGCATGGAGTCAGATATGGATGAATTAAATCCAATTAAACCAATCCCACCAATAAAAAAATATAAAATAACAATGTAATTTTAATACTAAAATTATTTTTAAGAGTAAATCTAATTAATCACACATTTGAAGCCCAAAGTCCTATGATTTTGTGAGCCTAAAATTTTAGGGGACTTACTGACAACGCATAAGTTTTAATTTAAATAAATCTAACCTAACCCGCCGCAGTAAGGAATAGATACATTGAATGTAAGTTTACAATTAAATTTACTACATATTTATAGCCCAAAGTTCTTTGGCTTTGTGGGAATAAATCAAAATTTTAATACTTGATTTTACAAGCAAGTACATTTTCTGAAATTTTATGAAAGGGAACTTACTAACAACGCGTAAGTTTTAACCCAAGTAATCTAACCTATCCTGCCAGAGAAAGGAATAGATAAATTGAATGTAAGTTTACAATTACTTAAACATATTCAGAATGCAAAGTTCTATGACTTTGTTGGCTTAAAACTGAGTAGTCAATATTACAACCAGCCTAAAATTCTCTGATTTCGGAAGCCCCAGAGTACAAATCCCCACAATGGTGTCTAGTAAATCGATGTTTATGCCAGAGTAGTTAGAAGCCATAATCAGGTCACTGATGCAGTTCAGCATCATGCCCATGACACAGCTTGGTTACAGTTTAACGTCATGCCCAGGACGCATTTTGGTTAGTTTAGTGTCATGCACAGGACGCAATTTGGTAACAGTTTAATGTCATGCCCAGGACGCAATTTGGTTACAGTTTAATGTCGTTCCCAGGACGCAATTTGGTTACAGTTTAACATAGTGCCCAGGATGCAATTTGGTTACAGTTTAACGTAGTGCCCAGGACGCAATTTGGTTAGTTTAACGTCATGCCCAGGACACAATTTGGTTACAGTTTAACGTCATGCCCAGGACACAATTTGGTTAATGTCATGCCCCAATTTGGTACTTAGTACCACATATAAGGATCATTAGGATTAGATCCCTTTGTTTTTTTTATGATAATCTTTTGGATCTATTTAAAACGCATTTAATCCACTTGACATGAGAAGGGTTGGGGTAACGGCAGAAGTGTTCGGAGAGGAGCCTCTGTCCGTATCATTAGGAGGAGCTTTTGGATTATGGCTATGGGTGATAGATAATTCTAATGGGTATAAATGCTTGAGTGAATGGATGTCCACATTTCCATCCCTTTTCTTAATCTCAACAGACTGAATGTTATTATCATCACCTGTAATCAGCCTTTGAACTCTACCCAAAACCAATAAAGTTTGGATTTGGTAGGATTTTTGATGAGTACTATATCATTGATTTTAATCATGTTCTCAAAACTTCTGTCATATAAATCCTTGCACTGTGCCCTCAAATCCAAGAGATATTTTTGATACCATAACTCCTTAAATCTATTTAATAAACAATCTCTAGCTTCTATAGACCTGACAATATCAGTTCTAGTAGGTGGATCTGAGCACACTGCCCTTTCTTCGCTTACATTGAGTAGCAAACCTTCATTTACATAAGGACAAAGGAAGGAGTTCAGAGTAACAATCTGTAGATCAGAATCAGAGGAGCAACGGTAAGTAAGGGGTCTGGAATTTATTGCTCTTTGTATGTCAGTAAGAGTAGTAAGTAGATCGAAATAGTCGACCTGAGATATACCAATAGTCTTATATAGACATAATTTGATGGTTTCGATCATACATTCCCACACACTGCCCATTCAAGCAGAGTACAAGGTAAGATGTTTGATATTAAATACACCAAATCTGTCCACGAACTCATTGGAAGTCAGGAATTCATTCACAAAATTGCAACCTGCAACGAATGACCAAGCATTATCACTATAAATGTAGGCAGGAATACCGTATATGTTAGTAAATCGAATGAAGGCAAGCACAAAGGAATGAGTGCTCATTACTTTCACCAATTCTATATGGACTGCCCGGATGTTCATACAAGTAAAAACCAATATGTACATCTTTTTCACTCCCTCGCCATTACCAACCCATACATGCCCAGTAGAGTCTATTTCAGTATGCAGGTAGGGCTGAACCAAATTAACCCTATGCTTAGGTAAGTTAGTAAGCTTAGGGTACTTAAAAGCAAACGCATTATACATCTTACAGAGGTAACAGCTAGAGATGCATTTCTTATTAGTCTGTCGAGACTTAGATATCCAAAACCTGGACATCCTCAGTTTGTTCAGAGTGGCAGCAATACCCAAATGTTTGCATCTTTTGTGTCAATCAAAGATAATGAGATTGCTCAAGGGGTGACTTCTAGATAGCAATATAGGATAAATAACCTCAAACTGATGCATATCAGCCTTGCCAATTCTTCTGCAAGAATGAACGAATCCTTCTTTATTCAAGAATAAGTTTAAATCCCTAACCGAACTTGAAATCTCTTTGTTCAGAGGATTTTTGAGATATTGTATCTCCCTAGCAAAAGATTGTTGTTGTATTAATTTAAAGAGATAGGCCTTTGCACAATGTTTGGGGTGAGCATCAGAATGCTTCAACTTATTAATGAACTTAAATACTGCAGCAGTAATATGTACTAATTTAGACAATTTAGAATATTTGGCTAGATCTACAATAGGTTCATTCAAACAAATAGAACTAGTATTGTGATGCACTTCGCTATGAACAATAACCCTGCTTTCGTCACTGAGGCAACTCAAACTACTCTCTGGCCAAGCCACAGGATTTTTCAAAAGCCAGGTAGGGCCAGAAATCTAAAATTTAAAGTTCTGTTTGAATTTCTGAAAGGATAGACCTCTAGTGATTAAAACGCTGGGATTCTGCAAGGAAGGCACATTTTTTAACTTAACCTATAATCCATAATCAGACCGCAAATCTTCTAGAGCCTTAAAAATATCCTTCAGTCTATTCTTAATGAATTGATTCTTAGTTTTAACTAGACAACAACCAACGCCACTTGAGCATCCACTGCAATGTGAACACCTTTAACACGTGCATTGGAAAATGTTTTCAGGATACAGTCGAGACATTTAATAGCTAAGAACACAGCCATCAATTCCAGAGTAGGTAAGGATCTGGACTTAATGGGAGCCACTTTGGCCTTAGCAAAAACTAAGTTCGATTTGTTATATTGTACAGCATAAGCAGTAAACCCATATGCCCTTTTATAGGGCATCGCAGAATATGTACAGTTCAGCTTGTAACGGATTCATCTATCGTGCATCTAGGGAAACTTAATTCCTTAAGATGATTGAGGTCTTTAGACAAGCTGTTCCAAACTTGTCTGGGTTCCGATGGAATAACGTCATCCCAAGGCAACTTCAGCCTCCATAGATTACTCATTAATATTCTACCCCTAATTGTCAGAGGAAGACACAGTGACATAGGGTCAAAAACACTAGATATTTGAGACAATATCTTTCATTTTGTATTGGCTTCAGAATGAATATAGCTGCCAGCCAAGCACAAGGTATCCCTGACTGGATCATATCTATATCCCAGGACCTTCTCCAACTGGCAGCCATGAATAGTTGCCATCTACAATCATGCGGTTTTTCAGATTCTTGCAATTAGTATTATAGGATCTAAGGCCAAAGTTTCCTTCTTCCATTCTATCCACTGACTCCTCGTAGAGATACATCAATTTTTGAAGAAAATTACAGGTTTTAACTAGGTTCTCCACGTAGAAATTGTTCTTCAGCATGTCAGAATTTACTAGAATGATGCTTGATGACATAATTTAAAATAAAAGGACTAGCATTAAACCCAAATAAGAGAGTGATGTATTTGAAACAAACTAATCTGCTCCCTTCCTTCATAAAAAAAAACAGAATCTATTTTTGTCCTCTTCCAAGCTAAGTTTAATCATCAGGAAAGCCTTCCTTATATCAGTGAGTAAAATATATTTGTTAGAGCAAAACAACAATAATAATTTTAGCATGTCTCCCATAAGATTTATTCCAGGGTAGGCTGCTTCGTTTAAGGAGTACAAACAAAGTTAACATAAGACACGGAACATGAAGAGTATTTAGAAACAACAGCATAGAAATTACTATCTGCACCTTTCTGCCCTTTTCCAGGAAGGATAATTTGGTTCAGATACAAGAAATTATTAACATTTCCAAAAGGAATGATCCCATTGGGGAGTTTCCATGCTGTACCATCCATGCATTTTATCAGATGCATAGGCTTCATGAACTGTATCAAATCCACCCCCAACAAAACATGCACCAGAATGGTATCTGCATTTTTAACAAATTTTCCAGCTAACTTAAAGTTTAGATTTTTCAAGTTTTTAGTAATCAGATGAAAACAATTAACATCAAACCTGATATTAAATTGGTTATCAATTAAAATTGGGAGGGAATGAGTACCACTGGGAAATCCTATATCAAAATTCACATCCCTCAACCTTTTGAGCTGAGAACCCCAAAAAGTCCTTACTTCATAATCAGCAGGAGCAACGTGGTAGTCCTCACCTTTTAGCCTCCTCAAAACTGATTCTGAGAAATAAGACCTCTGGCTTTCCATGTCCACTAGACAGTTGAAGTTATGTATTCTGCCACCACTGCTGACAGATAGGCAGACCACTTGACTGTGTATTTAGACACATATTAGTCATAGAGGGTTTACTTCTAAACTTAAGGGGGCATAACACACATATGTGGCTCCTTGAGTTACAGAACTTACAATCAATGCTTAATTTATTATTACTTCATCTACATTCATCCTTGCAATGTTTCCTACTCATGCATAATAGGCATAACTTTAATTCCTTACACCTATTCAATCTAGACTCTAGGGAAGGATATCTGGAATATTTAGTACTTGAATGGTTTTCTTCATCACAGAATTTACATTTTGGAAGATTACTACTACTCCTTGTTTTGACATTAAAGTTTTCCAGATTACGGTTTTTATTCTGATTAGAATTACGGACCTTTGGAGTCCAATCGTGAATCTTAGTTTTTCCCGAGTTATTTACACTATTACTATTATATGACTTATTTTTTATAATCACAAGGAAGGGTCTTGATAACTTCCCTATAGTTAGCAAAAATTTGAGATAAAGAAAGATAATTTGTTTCAACGCAATGAATTACTTCTCTTTTAAAAGATACTGGCAGTTTTGAAAATACGACAAAACACAAATATTTATTTCGAGGAGAATTCTCTTGAAGGAAATCCAAATCAAAGGAACTTCTTAACTCAAACAGATCAGCTCGTATTTTAGTAAGAAATTGCTTCACCCCAACTAAATCGGAGTCCATGTCAGGCTTGGACTCATTGATCTGTCTGAATATTTCAGCGACATTCATTGTCTAAAAATTCCTCCTTTAATATTTGTATGGTGGAATTGTAGTTATCATCATTGATAAAGTGTTGCGTTGTTTGCAAGGCGTACCCGGTTAAATATCCTTGCAGATACTGTAACTTCACAGCCTTAGTGAAAGAAAGGGAAAAGAGAAAATGTCCTTTAAGTGAAGAGAATATGTTCATAACAGAAAAAAGGCTTGCTCAAAATATTTCTCTGAGTGCCTAAAAAGTTCTTTAAGCGAGTAGAATTTTGTTATGGTTTAAAAACACTCACAGTTCTTGTAGAGTAGTAAAATTGTTGTTAGATATAGGAATCTTGCAGTTGAGTGAGTTCATAGGTCGACGAAAGAAGTCCAGTGGGCTCGTCAGAAGGAGTGGTAAAGGGATGCAGCTTTGGTCTGGAATTGTGGGCCGATGTTCGTTCTTGACAGCTCTTTAGTAGGTAGTTCTTTGGTTGAAAGTGGTTCTGAAGTTGACTGGAGTTCACTTTTGTCAACCTCACAGATGGCAGGCTGAAGTCTCACTGCCAAATAGGCAAAGATTCTCCAAATTTATGGAGATTTGGTATGCTCTGAAGAATCGGGAACTTTTCCCTCCCTAAATCTGCTCTCTAAAATTTGTTCAGTCAGTTCTAACAAATACTGTTCAGAAATCAGCATAATATTCTACAAAGCAGATGCCTTCATTTATGAATCCTAAACAATAACCCTATCAGCAGTTAACCTCAATATTAACAAAAATAATATTAACACAATGTAAACTTCTTCACAAATAAAAAAAATATAATACTTGATAATGATTGATTTTTGCAGATATCACATAAAATGCAGGATAATATCACATGTAGTACTCAGCGATATATGGAGTTTGTATGTATTGTTATTTATCACTGTTATGCAGTGAACATTTATATTGTTCATGAACCTACCAGAACTATAGTATTACTTCTGTAGAGGATTATTATTCAATGCAATGTTGGGGTTACCATCTGTAGAGATACATCAAAATTAGCTACAATTTCTAAAATGAATTTGGTTGCATGTTCAAAGTAACATAAATCCTCAACACATTACTTCTTCAATGAATTACAGAGCAGTGAACAAAAATGAGAAATAACACAAAACAATTTATAACAACAAACAAATTTTTATTTATATAGCATAAGAAATTCAACAATTTATACTGGAATGAATTCAGATTTGTGAATGAAATCTGTGTAGTGTTTGTTTAAATCTTTGTATAAATTCTTTTTGAGGTGTTTGGAATGTAGTTTGTGACTTTAATTGAAAGATAGTATGTTGAAGTTGTTGTGATGAAAATTTCACAAAGTCAGTGAAAGTATTAATCTGTTTATGTGGAATTTAAACAGTTTTGCGCAGTGTAAATTTTCAATGTAGTTTGGAATAAATTTAGTTGTGGTAAAAGTTATCTTCCTTTGACTGTTATTTTGTCAAGAAATAATGTTGAATTGTTTGAGCAAATCCAGAAAAGAAATAATGTTCTGTGATTGAGAACTTGAAATAATAAGCAATTCTCTGCTGATGAAGTTGAATATGAGTGAATGATGTCTGAAAGTTTGGATTATGTTAAAAGATAACTTTAAAAACTTCAGATGATAAAGTAACGTGGATTTGTTTAGCAACTGGTTTGTGCTGATGATGCTCATTACCTGAATTTATTTACTTGGGTGGACATGTGAGAGACTCCAGAAAATTAGCGCCAAAATATTTAACTTGATCACGAGATGAAAAATAGATGTGAATGCTTGGATGGTGATGTCCACTTGCTTGTTTATGAACCAATCAGCAATTGAATTCTTGGAAAATATGTGTGGAGCTGGTTTTGTACAAGAATATCGCTGTGATCTAGATAGCTTTTGCACAGATTTTAACAAAATCTCATAGTGATTCACTTTTAGATGGTGTTTGCACAGATTAATTAAGATTCTACACTCCCATATATTTTGGAGGGTGTCATGAACTTTTTTTCTCCAATAATTTCAACAGTTCAAAAATAACTTAAATGGTTTTCATTTTGTCATTTATGAATCTAATACTTTTTTTGGTGGTGTGTATATATATATATATATATATATATATATATATATATATATATATATATATATACACACACACACACACACACACACACACACACACTATGCCCATTTTCTCTCATATGTACATGTGCAAATATGGTTGTATAAGTATATATTTAATTTTTTACACTGGTTTCAGATTGCAGTCATTTTTTTGTATTCACTGAAAAATTTATTTTAACATTGTATCCTAATTATGAAAATTGAATAAATAATAATTTTTAATAGTGTATTTTCTTTCTCTGTCATTATTCAGATGGTGTATACACATGGGGTGCCTATCCTCAAATATATGTTTTACAGGATGATCAAGGCAACTATGACACATGTCGATCAAAGCTATATGTCCAAGGTTAGTAATGTATCTTGTCTGTTAACTTGTATGTTGCTACTTGCTACTTCAATAATTAAATGTGTAAGGTTTCTTATGAGAACATTTCATAGTACATGAAATAATGGTGGTGAAAAAGAGTACATGCACAAAATAACAGACCAATTGATTTGCAATGCAAGATAACAATTATTAAAACAATTAACAAAACAAACATTTAAAACAAGAGTTTCCTTTGTTAGAAGTAAATTGCATACACAACAAAATGTTCATGAATATATTCAAGTGGGACTTACTATGTTGGTGTGTTTTAGTTTGAAGTGTTCACAACCCTCTTTAGCTTTAGTGTTGAAAGTTCATGTCACCAGTTTAAAAGAGGAAAACTTGGAAGAGAGAGTTACTTTAGTTAGGGTTAACGTGTTTTTATATTTGAGCTGCTGCTGATACAAGGTTTATTTCGGCTGCTACTGCTACTATGTTTAAGGTCACTACATATGGGAGTAATTATTTACATTTTGAATAATTAGTGTTGATAGTCTGATCAATAGAAGTTATTTTGGAAGTTTTTTTTTTTTGAATGCTAAATGGTATTGAGGTAAATTAGCCAGCTTTTCAATCTTGTAAATATTTAAAATGATTATTTTCAAGTTTGTTTTACAAAAAATAGTTTTCTCCAAATGAGTTTTTATATATAATAAACCTATTGTGTGTGTTTAAATTAAAGTATAACTTTCAATTGCCTTTCTAGTTGAAATGGTGTATTTTCCATAAGAGTAGAAAACACTTTTAATATATGAAATGTCACTCAAATTAACTTCACAAAGTCAAAGGCATTTCTAGTTTTGTTCTTCTAATGAACTACTGATATTAATATTGGATTCTTTTTAAATGAATTTGCCATTATCAAAATATTTTTACTCTGTTTTGAACCAACATCAAGATCAAAACAAATGCAAATACAGATCACAAGCAGAAGTTGAACTTTGTGCCAATCAAGCTGGAATATGTGCTGTGAAATGTGGTCCTCATTCTGCACCCTGTCAAGAATTGCCCAAAGTGATTACATGTGGTAAATTGGGAAAATTCAATCACAGGGAACCTTTTGAACCATTCCTTGTACCTTCTTGTGGATGTGAGTAAAAACGGTAACATTTACACTTTTTTTCAATGATTCTTCTCCAAGAATGATTAGGGAAAAGTTTTTCCTTGTTTTTTAAATATTTTTTTATATGAAATTGTAGAAAACAAGGAAAAACTTTTCCCTAATTATTCTCATTTCCTTGAAAGCCATATATTATAAATAAAATCATACAAAATAATATACATTGAATATTTGGATAATTAAATGCAACAGTCTCCCTTATTTCTATATGATGATTAATACAAGTCAATTCCATTAAGAAAATATGCATTTACTCTTTCATATGATACATTCATTCAAAACATAATACTGAATGTACCATTTTGATAGAATTTAATTTTCATGATTGTCTTATGATAGAAAGGAAAGTTTTATGATTAAATATACACAGCACTACTATACATTTTGTATGTTTTTAAAGATGGAGAATGATTTTGTTTGTGATTAAATAATATTCCCCCTAACCACTTCCTGCTAATTATTACTACTATTACAATTATATTTCTTTTTTAAGAATGCAAAAATTGTTTTGTTTTTAGAGTACATTTTTTTAACTGATCTCTAAATGATGTTTTTTCCAGTGAAAAGTCCTGCCACCTCTGATATCTCCATCTCATTCTTTTATAATTTTGTAACACCATGCCAAGAAAATTTTTCAGTTCGTGTTGCCAAATATGTTTTAGAGCAGATACAGGCTACCAATAAAGAATGGCCTGGATTATGCAATGACCAGTATAATATGTGCACCAATGTTAATGTCAGTATTGTCTGCCAGTCTGGAATGTCAGCTGCACATGGACAGGTATTCATCAAAGGATCAAGGTATTATTTTTTATCTCAATTCACATCCATCAATTTGGTTGAATTATTTATCCCTTTTATAAAATGCTAATACATCTGTTGACAAAATTTTTTTCTTTATCTTTACTTTTTATTTTGCTAATTTTTATTGTAGGTCAGAATTGAAGAGTCCTTATAATCAGCAAACTCTTGATATAACAGATGTGATTAAAAAGCTTTTTAATTCCCCAAATGAAATGGATTTTTTGGTGAGTAGAAAGGATTAGAGAAACTTACCATTTCATATTTGAATATAAAAAAAAATGACAAAATCTTTGCTCTTCAGATAATTTTAAAGTATACACAATAAAAGTAAATGTAAGAAATGAGTTCGATAATCAATATGTGATTAAGAAACAAGAAATGTAATTGAATTTCTTAATCCCCATAATTCACTCATAATAACTTATTTGTTAATAACAATAAAAGCAAACCAGATTGATATATGTTAATCTTTAAGTCACTTCAAAATTTAAAAAATTTTGATGCAGAGATTTTACAAGATAGATTTTTGTCTTTCAAAGTAATAACTAAAAATAATTAAATTGTTTGCAAGCCTTATTTGTAATCTATTATTGACCCTATTCAGTAACCTTTTTGTAAAGATAAGAAGCTTGAAGAATGTTCCTTCAAACTTATGCTTGTAACAAAATATGTTAGGAATTAACTAAGCAGAATTGTCTCTGCATATTTATTGTTGTTTCAAATGCAGTGAGAGTTCTTGAGTGCTGATCAGAGGAGTATCATATATACTCAAGCATAGTGTGAGTTTTTATGATCAGTTTATGCAGAAAATATTAGTCATACTATACACAGGTAATTTTTTTTGAAGAGGTTAAAAATCATGTATTTTTGTAGACTGGTTGCGCTATACATAGGTAAATTAATTCTGGAGGGGTTAAAATTAATGCCAAAAAACTCAGAGATCACACTATACATGAAGTTGGCTTGTATACAAATATATACAGTAGTTGTGATGCTACATTTTCAAAAGGTTCATAAAGCATGTGAATATGAGAGACCTGTTCTACTTCATTTTTCTGCTGTCAGTATCTAATCCTTTTTCAGAAAATAAGATGCCAATTGACTTTATTTAACATTTGTACTTGAATGATATTGATTTGCTGCTGACATCTTTTTGCCTCCCATAAAATCAAATATTATCATTTTTTTCTCAGTCAATTGCCAATGCAAAACTTGAAGAACCAATTGTTATCACATCTGAGAAGTCTTGTGCTGCAGGATCTGGATTGGTTCAGAATTCTTGCAGTGAGTAAATTGAGTCATTGGAAAATAAAAAAAATTTGATGATTTTTATATAAAGATGGAAAGAAATTATTTTTAAATTGGTCTAACTTTGTATTTATTATCAAAAATACATATATTTTCATTTAAAGCTGTTAAAAATTTAATTCAAATAATTCAATAATATACTTAAAGTGTAAGCTACATTATTGCAAAATTTAATTTTAGATTAATACCCAGTGTAATTTTCATTTTGTCCCAATTCTCTCAATTCATGAAATTAAATTTTTTTTAACCAGTTGAGTATCATGAAAAACATGTTTTAAAATTGATTTCATGTTGGTATTGGTTACTTTATTAAAAAGAGATACTATTAAATGGCTGTTGTTGCTTGATAATGATACTATCTTGATTGGTAAAAGAAAAATTAATTTGGAAGCTTCCATAATACTATTTTAACAAGACTTTTATCTATTGATTTTATAACTTTTCTACTTTCTGTCTGAATTTCTGGGATGTGGAGTTATTATTTATACTATTTAATGAACTACTGTTCAACTTTTTATACTTTCCATCATTCACTAACTTTACAATATTATATTTTTCTTTTGAGGTTATATCTTTGATGATTCATGGCAGTCTTTATTTTAAGATAGAACTTTTACTAATCATTTTCAGTAAATTATTGGATATTAGATGTAATTGACATTTCTAAATATTTAAGGATTTCAATTGTACATACTTTTTGAGCTAGAACTTTTACTAATCATTTTCAGTAACATCTTGCTAAATTAATGCAACCCTTGACAGGGATATTTTTCTACAGTTCATGTTCATAATCTTCAAGTTTTCTTGCTTCTACATGTCTTTTCAATTCATCCCATTTTCAATCACGTTCATACTAAGATGCTATAAAGGCTAAAGTAAAACTTTTATATTCTTATACTGAAGATATTTTTGGACTAATTTAGATGTTGTGGATCATTGTCATAGATTATGTTCAAGTTGATCTCTAATATTTCACAATAATTATCTTTTGTTTTCATTGCACACATATTTCTTGTTATTATGCTTGCAGTTCTAGTTTTGTCTCATCTGATCAGAATACATTCTCCCAGAATAAGATAAGCTTATCAATATATTCATTTGCTAAACATGATTTCAAATAACTAATCTTTAGAAAAGGGGTCTTTTGAAACTGATATGTTTTTAGGGATGCTCTGTGCAAATTTCTAGTGATCATATTTATTTTCATTTCAGCAGTCCTTCAAATTATTCCTGAGATCCTTAGATATAATATTGGGTTTGTTCCAATAGTTCTTCCAAGGCTAGATTCTGCTCTAGCTAACAATTTCTTCTTCCTACCATCTCCAGGTTTATTTGTACCAACTTTAGAATGATATTCAAACAATTAATTTAGGGAGAATAAATCATTTAGGAATGATATCACATCCACTGATTGATTTGTAGAACTGAATAATCTTGATTCTAACTTCTAAACTATGTTTACATGTCTTTGTCATTATCCAGATATAAGGATATATCATGTAATTTTCCGAAGTTCTACTAAAAAAAAAATTCAACATTCAGTAGTAAGAATTAACTAAAAAGTCTAAAAAATCCCATCATTCAAATTAAGGTTTAACCATCTTCATTATGGACAGTTGAATGAGGTCCTATTACATTTTTTGAGAAATAAAAAAAAATAATATACAAATATTTATTACTTCATCATTTATATATGAAAAATAATTTTCCTGTTTATATTTTTCTTGTTCCATTAATTTTGGACATAGCATTTTTATTTTTAATTTTGTTGTTAAATATACAGGGAAAATTATTCTTGTGTATACATCTAACAATTGTCCCCATTAAAAAGGAAGATTCAATTGCAACAACATTTTAAATTTTAATCTCCATAAACTAAAAGAATTTAAACCATGCAATGATTTCAGTGAACAACCCTTGAGTTCAAATGCCTAAAATAAAATCCCATGCTACCAAATTACATTACTGCATAAAACAAATAAGCAAATTCACTTAGTATATAGCTTATATAAATATGTCATGAAAATTTTACCAATGTTAATTAGTTAATAATAGTTTTATTATGAAAACCCTGGCATGATTGAGCTGTATAATAAAATCTGATATAATCTCGAAGGATTTCACATGCAAGTTGGTATGTAAATAAATCACCAGTGCTAGGGAATTAACGCAGCTACAAATATTACAGGCAAAAAAAAAAAAAAGACAATTAATAATAGATATATACTAGTATGATAAACTAAGCAAGTACATTATCTCTATGAAGATGAATTTAACATCCATATACTAGTGAAATACTTTTGTATTGTATGATATGTATATATAAACATAAGAAAAAAAACAAGTACAAGACCTATAAGTATACATAATGCCTTATCATGTCTATCATTTATTTTTAGTTGTATGTGGTTTGGGTATGTATTCAGACCCTGTAACTAGGAGATGTGAATTTTGCCCTCTTGGTCAGTACCAGGAAAATACTGGCCAATCCAGCTGCCACCATTGTCCATTTAATACTACAACTCTCTACAGAGGCTCGGCTGATTCAAGTGATTGTGTCAGTGAGTATTTTACATTTTTTCACAAGTGGTTATCTCTCTTTTCATATCTTGAAAAAGACACTATTAGGAGGTAAAGCAATTTTTTATTTTTTACATATTTATATAGATATTTGTATGCATAGATGTAAATATATATATCTGTCTATATCTCTGAGATGAGGTATTATGATTACTTACACATTATTTACATTATTTGAACTGTTATCCTCATCTTCATTGCCATATTCACTATATTTCAGCTGTTGTACACTCCAACCTTCTTCAGGTTATCTCAGTGGATGAAATAAAGGGTTTGGTTTGAAATTCCAGTCACCTGAAGAAGGCCAGTGAGTACAATGGCTGAAACGTTGTAAATATGGCAATGAAGATGAGGATAACTGTCCAAATAACGTAAATAATGTAAGTAAATATAGATATATTTGTTCCTGTTAAAAAAAAAACAATTTTTTATATATTAAAAACTAATTGTTTCCCTTTTACATCATTTTAAAGAGAACAGAATTAAAAATTCTTTAGATAAAATTTTTCTTACAGCATTTTTTTATGCATGAGGTTACAAGATTTAAAGAAATTACCCTGAAAAAGGATTTGTGACTCACCATTATTTGTAGGATTTTTACCTTTTCAGTTATTAGAACCTTGACAGACAAAATAATTACAAATCAGCTGTTACATTTTAATGATTTTTATTGCAAATCTTACTTATTATAAAACGCAGATTGTGTGTGTGTGTGTGTGTGTCTGTAACGTTTATATATTGGATCGAATTTCCTACATTTTTTAGCCGATTTCAACAAAACTTCACAGGACTACATAAAATTACATTGTGATGGTTCTAACGGCGCCGAAAATGGGAAAAACAATTGTTTTTTAACAAAATCAATTTGAAAACACGATTAAGACACATCGTGAGAATGAAAGGGGGACAACTCACCCATGAAAATGTAAACAAAAGAGCATAGCATGATGAAAAAAAGCCGAACTTGACGAAAACAAAATTTTATCGTCTAATGTTCATATTATTATTAAAGAGGAAAGATCAAAATATTTTGGGGGTATTTTTTTACATTTTTTAATCGTTCCTAGCACGTCTGAAATTTTCGTTAAAAATATTGTTTTTTTTTTGGTCAAAAAAAAAAGGACAGAAAAGGAAATCATTTTCAATCATTTTTTTCGATTTGATAAAAAAGATTAAAATCTGACTTTGATATCCTTTTAAAAATCAATTATCATTTTTTCAAAACTGATTTTAATAAAAACAAAATTATACTGTTTATTTAAAATATTTTGAACCAAGCTTAACTTAGCTTCTGCGCCAAAAATGTAATTTGAAAATAAAACAAAGCAGGTCATAACCTTTCGCGTAAACTTGACGATTGACGAAAAGGCACATTCATGACGTTTAGATAACTTACGGGAGGATAATTCTTTCTACGGATGGAAGGAAGTGAAATTATTTAAGTGAACAAATTATTTACCTTGTTACTTTTAAGGAAAACTTTCAGCGCTCTAATTTTTTATTTTTTTTTTTTTTTTTGTACTTAGCTTTCATTTTTACGTTTACGATGCTTTATGGAAAATATAAAGAAATTAAAAATAAGACTGTTAATAGATTAAATTTCATAAGAAAAAAAGGTATCTAATTAATTTAGGTACCTTTTCTTATGAAATTTTATCAGAAGTGTACATAAAATACTATAATTTTATGTACATTTATTACATTTTACTGTGTTATTTGTATTTCCATTCATTTTATTATTAATTTTGATATTTCATTTATGGAAAAATGTCATAACTGAGATTAATATAAAAATAAGATCATATAAATTAAAGTTTAGCAGTAGTTAAATTTCATAAGATGATACTGTTACTTGTAGGTACCCTTCTCAGTTGAAATTGAAAACTCAAATTAACTTCTCCATACGTGTTTCAAAAAGTAAAGGGCTTAACAGCGGAGAACAATGCTGAACTCAAATAATGCAACTAAATTGTATTCTGGTTGGTCTTCCGTATTTGATAATTACTGTCCGACTATAAACACAAAAATTACATTTCTTAATTACCATGGCTAATCTGATTGGTCCAAATTATACAATTTTCAAAGCGCTAGATAATGACAATCTCACACGGACATTTTGAAAGGTTGATGTTGCTTTTAACTAATGTTAAAATATTTTTAAAAATTCAATTTAAAAAATTTTTAAAAATCTTTTTAAAATTAAAGAAATAATTGTATTAAAAATTCAATTTTCATTGAAAAAATTTTTTGCTTTCAGAAAATATTGTCCATATTCATAAAAACAAATTAAAACAAATAAAAGCATTTGAAACTAAATAATATATTGGTTTTATTGAGTTTTGTATGTTACAATTCACAGCTGATTTTCAGGTAAGTTGGCCAAATAAAAAAAAACAAAAAAAAACATGATTTGCATTCTTCAAAGCCTTGTGATTTTAACTATTGTAATCACTAAAACCGATGGTCTCGAATTTCTAGAGTTTTCATAAAATTAGTTATGGGGTGATAATAAATATAAAAAAATATTTCTACCATGACTTTAAAAAAAAAACATATTTATAATAATTTCGATCATCTGTGAATAGTTTCTGAAAGTTTCATTAACATCTGACAATTATTTTTATTTTTGCAAGATTTTCCAAATTAATGTGTAAATACAAAAAACGCGCTAAAAATTATCTATGTTATTTACTACCCCTTGTTGCGACAAAGAGAAACAAGGTTTTTAAATCAAAATTTAGAATATTCTAAAAAGATGGAAAAATTTTAAAAAATAATTAAAAAAAATTTAGTCTATCCTCTTCATAAAAACATAAGCATTTTGACGATAAAATTTTGTTTTCATAAACTTTGGCGTCTTTTTCATCAGACTATGCTCTATGTTTTAGCGATTCCGTGGAGTGACTTAGGTTAAAAAACCCAGGTTGTTTGTGTGTGTGTGTGTTCCTTTATATATGGGATCGGATTTCTTACATTTTTCAGCCGATAAAACAAACATCCACTTTTTTTTTTGGCAGGTAGTGTTTCTTATTGTCTTGCACACTTTTTTCTTTATTTATACATTCAGAATGCTTTAAAAATTCCATTTACAAGACAATTTTTTATAATAAAATTCTAATTCTATTCAATCGGGGGACTCATCATAACGATTGAAAACAATGTTTTTGTTTGAGTTTGGGTTTGACCAATTCGTAAAAAAAAAACAAAAAAACTAAGACATGCGTGTCCGTCAACCTAAACAATAATCTAACGATGTCTACTGATTGTACGAATCGCAAAATTGGATAATTCTTTATCTTTAGGGAAAGATAATTCCACATACTTTAGGGCCGTTTTTACAATTCCCTTTGCAATTTGTTACAAGGCAGATCAATAAGGCATTGGTTCTATTTGAAATTAATTTAATATTTAAAAAAAAGTATTAAGAAATAATTTAAAAATGCCGACGTAAGAAATCTGATAGACAAAAAACAACAATATTTCAAGATGATAATTATTAAGGAAAAGAACACAGTACTTGTAATAAATTAATAAACCCAAATAATGTTAATATTTTTTGTATTAGAAACAACGAGTGGAAAATATATTCAAATCAGAATTCTAATTATGAATCACCACAAGCAAAATATGCAATTTTTTTACTGTATTCAATAAGTAAAAATCATAAATTGTAAAAGATTACAGAGAAAGGCTACCTACATTTTTCAACCGATTTCAACAAAAACTTCACTTTTTTTTTTGGCAGGTAGTGTTTCTTATTGTATTGCACATTTTTTTCTTTATTTTTACATTCAGAATGCTTTAAAAATTCCATTTACAAGACAATTGTTTATAATAAAATTCTATTCACCAATCGATAGACTCATAACGATTGTAAACAATGTTTTTGTTTGAATTTGGGTTTGACCAATACGTAAAAAAAAAAAAAAAAAAAAAAAAAATAATTAAGATATGCATGTCCGTCAACCTTAAACAATAATCTTTGTCAATTTTATTTTTCAGTCTTTATGATGGTCGATACTTGATCTATCTCTTACTGTTACATCCCCGGGCAATGCCGGGCTCTACTGCTAGTCATTACTAAATCATTAGTGAAGTTTTTTTATCCCATAACCTGTAGGGTTGTAGGGGATAAAAAACGCCCCCTTCTAAAAGGGGATAAAAAACACCCCCTTCTAAAAGGGGATAAAAAAAAACCTTCTACTGTAGCTGCACTGCTGTTAATATACCATTAGTCATTGATATATGCAAATTTCACACAAAGTGAAACCAATGATCATTATTATAATTTTGTTTACTTCTTAAAAATCCTGTTTATATTATTTTTTATATCTCAGTCTAAAATGATGACTAATGATTATCAGTGGGTAGTGCAGAAATGCATGTAAAATCTTTAAAAGCTCATTTCCTTTTACTTCTATAGCTTTATGCTCCATTGCTCATTTCTACAACTTGACCACTGCAAGATGTAGTGAATGTCCAAAGGGATATTACCAGAGTATGCCAGGAAAAGCTTACTGTGTACCATGTCCACTTGGTACAACAACTGTTAACACAGCAACCATCTCAAAAAGTCAGTGTAAAGGTATGTCATTTTATATCATGAATCTAAAAAAGATATCTTTTAATAGCATTCTCTTCTCACTTTTCAAATACTCTTTAATATTTAACTATTTACAAAACTCAATTACCTTTTAATGAATATGCTTCAAGTACAATGAAGTCAGGATAATGATTTATCTGCAAAATATCTGAAATCATTTAAAGTATGGCAACTATAAGAATCAAATGAAAGAAAAGTTTTCAAATTTTGATATTTCTTATTTTTTTCAAAAATCCTCTAATTTTAACTTTAATTTTTTTCTTCCAAAGATATTTGCAAATCTGGCTTTGAAGAAGTTGATGGCAAATGTGATTACTGCCCAAAGGGTTATTACCGACAGTGGAACATTCATGATGTGTGTGTACCATGTCCGGCTGGATCTACCACAATTGTATTTGGTGCTAACAAAATTACAGATTGTACAATTGGTAAATACCTTTTCTTGAGCACAAAGCAAGTTTTAATAATTATACTGTATTGATTAGTCTAAACCTTTTAAAATTAGTAATAATACGAACTGCCACATAATAGAATTCTTTTCAAAAGCAAAAAATTATCAATCAATATGCATATTGTGATATCCAATAGATAGACAACTTAAAATATATAAAGAAGATTTTTTTATGTGTGTGTCTTTATTATATATATATATATATATATATATATATATATATATATATATATATATATATATATATATAATGAAAATATAAATTTAAAAAATCTAGTCTAAATCAAATGGTGATATCAATATATGAATTATAAAGATTTGCTCTTCATGATCTACTAGATATATAAGTATATCAATAAGTTTGTAATGTAATGAAAACCAAAACAAATATTTATTTTTTCTATACAATCTCCTTTGTCTATGCACTTAATTCTATGGTGAATATTAATTATAGATTCAGGTAATAATTATGGACTTATTGATCTAGCCTCATAAGTGAGTAATAATGACTTTCTAATGATTGCTTGTGTGAGATATTATATAAATGTAATTTGCCCTCTTTGCGATCATCATGGAGTAATTTCATAACAAAATCATACAGTATATAATGAAGATATTTTTTTGTCATTGGCAGCTAAATGTAAGTCAGGTGAGTATTTGAATGCTGACACACTCTTCTGTACAAAATGTGATTATGGCACCTACCAACCAAAGATCTGGCAAACACAATGTATAAAGTGCCCAGCTGCAACCTGGACCAGATTAAAAGGTGCAACTCAGAAAACTAAATGTGAACGTAAGTCTTTTTTGTCTAACTTGTTTCATTATTGTTTCTCATAGAAAAGAAATTGGCAAAGATAAATTTATGATGTGCCACTGATATTTTCTTGCTTGTTTATAAGGTTAAAATTAGATACACGAGTACATTAATCACATAGATCAAACATCACAGTGAAAATTCAGCTATAGATTTATTGATCTAGCTTCATGTGTGTATTTGTAGATATTTAAGTATTTGTGCTAAGGAGTGATAGAATAATTCACTTAATATGAACTAGCCATTAACAGCAATCTCCTTTCCCATTTTATGTGGTTCTCACTTCAACCAAAACATCTGGTCAAAGTTTGGGAGGTCAAACAGGAAAAGAACTTTTCAGCACCTCATCATATTTTCCATTAGTTGCACATGAGCTAAAACACTTTTTCTTGCTCCAATACAATAAGATTTTTCTAGAAAATTTTGCTCTATTTTAAAGTTTAGTGATTTTTTTTGGTACCATATCACTTGTGAAGAAAGTTATATGAATGGAATTAGTTTAACAGATTCATTTTATGATTGAATACACTTTATAACTGCTATTGTTATCTATTCTACTTATCTTCTTAATCCTCATTTTCTACCACATCCTTTCTTATTCACATCACACACCTCATTCATCATTACCAGTAACAGTAATTCTCTCCTTTGAGTGGATCTTGAATCTTGTATTGGGTGAATTTTAGTATTGGCAAAAAATGATTACCTCATGTACTTATACTTATATTTTCATAAGATAAATCTATACATATATCCATCATTTTCGCTTTATAAGTTATCATGCTTGTAGAGTTTAGAATAATGTAGAGTGTTCTTGGCTAACAAAAATCTCATGAAAGGCACAAAACTGTTCTATTTTGCTACACACTCTTCTATGTGGTGCCAAGTCTTGGGTCACTGATGCCTACTTGAGTACTTCTGTTACTATTGGTTCTACACTATTCTAAAATTACATTGGAGAAATTTGATCACTAACATTGAGGTTCTAAAGTCATCCAGGGTCACAAGTGTTGAAGCTTTACTACAAAAGACTCAACTGAATTTCCTATTTGGGAAACTTTCCCTGACTAATGGAATACAAGGGCCCCGCTGAAGAGATACAGAGACTTCTTGAAAAGGAATCTCACCTATGGATTCAAACACCATCAGTAGAAAATAGAGGCATGGAGACATAGATTTTATCAAGCAACCTTCTTTGCCAAGGTTGAACTGCAAAAAATGAATAGAAGAAAAAAGGAATCTCCACAAATCTCATGCTGTCTACCAAGCCTTCTTCTCTTGTAGTTGACATGGAAAAGTGTAACTTTTTTGCATTGGCTTGAAACAGATATGGAAATCCTTCTCAAATATTTGTTACCAAATTCAAGTATTACATAATTTATCAGTTCTGTAAATATATTTTAAATTCATGCAATAACAACAAAATTTAGGGAGAGTTTTTAGGCCTTATATGACAAACTGAGTTGTCATATAAGACAAATTAAATGGATAAAATCTTTATTTTATAATGAAATGCACTTACATAAATGCAGCTGAAATTATCACAGTATAGTTGTTTTAGAATGATGAAATTTCAGATTTTTATTTCTAGAATGATGAAATTTCAGATTTTTATTTCTAGAATGATGAAATTTCAGATTTTTATTTCTAGAATGATGAAATTTCAGATTTTTATTTCTAGAATGATGAAATTTCAGATTTTTATTTCTAGAATGATGAAATTTCAATTTTATTTCTAGAATTTCAATTTCATTTTTATTTCTAGAATGATGAAATTTCAGATTTTTATTTCTAGAATGATGAAATTTCATCATTAATCATCACTGGTGAAAAGGTTGTTTTTAGAATTATGAAATTTTAGATCTTGATTTTTAGAATGATGAAATATCATCATCATGAATCATAACAGTGGGGTCTCCTCGTTTTTGCTGCCAGAACTTTCTTGAACACTGACAGATGATTTGCAGGTATCTATGAGGTTTCCAGAGATGTCATTAGTACAAGTGTACTCTCCATTAGCAGATTTGGGAGTTATGTCTTGCACATTGATTGTAGTTCCAACACTGGGAGGTAAGCATATATGTGCATAGTCAGGATTGATTTCCAGAAGTGTAACAGGAGGCTCTTGATTACTTGACTTGGTGTGGTTCCTGATGTATATCAGTTTTTGTTTTGCCCAACGAGATTCTGGATGTGGATTTGCAGCTGTATTAAAATAATCTCTTATGTGGTGTTACATTAGTTGTTGTGCAGTGTAAGTAAATGGAGTGCATCAGGTAGGATATTTTCCCAATATGGTGGTTTCATGTTATGAGAATGTAAGGTTACCTGAATAGCCTTCCATAGGGTGCCATTAAGTTTTTCAGCTTGTCTATTGCTTTCTGGATGGTATCTACCTGTTTTCGATTTAGCAATGCCTTTTTCATGCAAATAGTTTTTGGTTTCCTCTGAGAGTAAGTCAGAGGTCCTTTTAGTGTGTATCATATCAGGCATACCAAAAATTGAAAATAGTTGATTCAGGCAATGTGTGATAGTTCTGTTAGTCATTTCTTTGCAAAGAAAAGCAAACGAAAAATGGGAGAATTCATCGATTACAATAAGGTATTTGTTACTATTTACAGATGATGTTAGGGGTCCATTAAAATCGATATTTAATTGTTGGAATAGTAGTATTGCTTTTATGAGTGCCCCCCTGACACCAGTTATGAATTTTGGTTTCAGATATTGACAAGATGTGCAGGAATTGTTTACGCTTTTTATTTGGTCTAAAGAGAATGGGAGGCTTTTTGCTCTGGTACAGTGGAAAAGGCATGTAATGCCAGGGTGATATAATTGAATATGCAAATCACGTAGATTTTGCAACATGATAGAGATGCCAGAAAAATATTGATAACAGTATTCTCAGTTCTTGGACGAGAAATAATACTGAATTTAAACTGGGACAGCTCAATGCGTCAACAGCATATCTTATCACTTTTTATCTTGGATTTTTTAATGTTATTGAATATGAAGCTAATACTTTTTTAGTCTGTTATGACTCTGAAATGTCTGCCAAGTAGAAAATGACACTACTTCCATAGAGCTTTGACTATGGCAGCAGCCTCCTTTTCAACAGCATGACATTTGATTTCTTTAAGATTCAGTGTATGAGAAAAGAATGCAATAGGTCGGCCCTGTTGATTTAAAGTTGCTGCTATGCAGTAAGGTAACATTTTTAAAATCATTTTTCAGCATTTGGAAAGTGTGTAGTGGAAGCTGTTTGCTATGATTCAATAATAGTATTTTGTCTGAAAAGTTCTGAATAAATTTACCATAATATGAGAACAACCCAACCATTCATTTTTGAGATTTTATATTTAGAGGTGGCAGCATTTCGAGGAGAGGTTCAAGTCTGTTGTAGTCAGGTGATATCTGATTGTTTTGGATAGCTTACCCAAGTAATGTAATTGAAGTAGCTAAAATGATACTTTTACTATTATTTAGTGATATTGTAATTAGCCACATCATAGAATTTTTGAAGATTATAACCATGTTCTTCTTTGGTTTTCCCACATACAGTAACATTATCCACAAAGACAAATGTATCTGTCAGTTTTTCCTTATTGATGATGTTGTTGGGTGGGGGCAGATGATCCTTATTGATTTATGAGGGTGATATGTTCTTGGTGCTAACTCATTTAAGGTAGTAGCAGTATTTACTAATTATTCCAGGTTCTGTTCTGAATAAAACTCTTAACACAACATACATAGAAAACCGACGTAACAATGCAATAGTGAAGCTATATATTTAAACAAGTGAATTTAAAATGAAACTGAAGATAAAGATTTATTTATTAACAAATAAAAAATTATTTGGATGCTATATACATTGTGTGGTCACTATAATAAGACCCTTGAAAAGAAGGGCGAGAGTATCAGAATTTAATTTGAGAATTACTGCTACAATGTTTTACAAGTTCACATTCTAGCCTTTTTCTGATTTTTTCCCCAACTTTCACTCCTGCTTTCAAATCCAGCTCCCAAAGCTTTGATCCTTATCAGAGATAAGAATATATTTTCTGACAAATGAGAAAGCTGGAAAATGTAAAAAAGGAATTGACCACCCTTGCCCTGACCATGGTGCCATAAATCGGAGGTCGGGGTAATGCTCACAACTTGTTAAACCCTTGCTTCCAAAAATGATCTCCCAAACCTTTGATCAGAGATAAGAATATATTTTCCGACGAATGAGAGGGCCAGGAAAGTGTATAGTAATTTTGGAGGGAAAAGTTCCTGATATTTCTGAGCCTACTAATCTCAATAAATACGGAGAATATGCACCTCTTTGGCAGTGAGTATTTTACATTGTCTGTGATAACATCAGGTCAGCAACAGTAACACCAGTCATCTTTGAAACCTGTTTCAAGGAAGAAATCTATATAATGGCCTCTAAAGACAGAACGTTGGCCCCTACTAAAACTACTTGAGATCTGCTTCCTATTACCTTGAAATTCCTGTCGTCGGCCCATGAACTCACTCAACTATGAACTACCAATCTTCTGATGGCTCCCCCTCAACAAGAGCTCTGAAGAAATCTTGTGAGTGTTAACCCTTTAAGAACAATTTACTTTAGGTATCTCCATGAAATCAATAAAAAAATAGCATAGCATGAATAAAAAAGTCCTTAAACTTGATGAAAATATTTTTTTTACTGCCTAAATGTTTGTTATTATCAAGAGGAAAGATCAAAGTATTTTTTGAATATTTTTTACATTTTTTAATCATTCCTAGAATGTCCAAAATTTTCATTAAAGATCTTGTTTTTTTTTGATCAGCAAATTTGACAGAAAATCAATCATCAGCCATTTTTTTCACTTTTGTTTACAAAAGTGAAATTCTCTGTTTTAAAATTCTTTTAAAAATCAATTATAATTTTTTCAAAATTTAAGAAAATTAGAAATTATAAAGTTTATTTAATATATTTTGAAACAAACATTACT